TCTGAATAACATTCTTCAAAGGGCTTCCAGTCTTTTAAAATGTTATCCCCATTTTGGGAGCAGAGTGGGAACAATAGTAGTCAAAAGTCTAAGGATGTACTTTGGAAACTAAGACTATGACCCTTTTTTTTTTTTTTTTTTTTTTTACTTTATTAGCATTGTGAACAGAATGATATTATCTTAACATCAGAAAACCAGATGGGAGTGACTGGAACTCAGGAACTCACTGTTTTTTTGTTGTCTTGGTTGCTTGGGAAAGGGAAGGGAGCCAGCTGATTTGATGTCTTATGTGTCAAGAATGCATAATCATCCACACATAAATAAAAGTTTTACAGTATCTAATAATCTGTAAATGAATACCGATTTACAATGAAAACAATTATCCCTGTACAAAATGTCTCAATACGTTTATTATGGTTGCTTCAGATCAAGGATCAGATCTGATAGCGTAAGAGTTGGGTACGATTTGTCTTCTCGGGCTCTTCCTGCCTGAATCTGAGCTCCACCGGGCACTGAACATTGGCTCATAATAGACATACTAGAAATGTGTCAAAGGCAGCAGAGAGAAGGGCTTTGACAGCCTTTCCTTTTACCAGTGGCAAAGACAAGGGCTGGCAGGAAGGATCCTTCCCTTTACGCAATTACGTTTTGGGAGCTCCAGCAAAGCATAGTGATTTTTGTACTTTCATTTTTAAAAGCCAAAATGCTCTGAACGTTTCATGCTCAATTCATAATCCATTTTCACATTTTCCATTACTCAGAGGAAACTGGAGGCCTGGGCTTTAGATACAAATAATCAAAAATACTTATTCACTTTTCATATGCTGCTGTTGATGCTTCGTTAATACTGTACAAAGCAAATTCGAGAAGGCACCACTAAGGAGAGTGGAAATGGTCTAGGAGATGATGTCAGCTCACAAACAATGTGAAAAAGAAAAGTTTCCGTTTTCAGTTGGAGGAAAACTTGGCAAGGACTTTATTATCTGGTTAGGAACTAGTCATCTCTTGATTTCCATGCCCCTACTTTCAATTCTGTATCAGCTTTATACAAGGACCAACACCAAAATGTTTATATTTTAATTCCTCTTACCTAATGAGCTTGTAAATTGGATACATTAGTTATTATACCCTGGGCAGTTTTCTCCTTTCGTGAAAGTTATGAAGGGATAAGACACTTTTTATATGGTCTTTTGCTTCTGCAGTCACATAGAACTTCTTTTTTTTTTTTTTTTCAGATGGAGTCTCGCTCTATCTCTGACGCTGGAGTGTAGTGGCGTGATCTTGGCTCACTGAAACCTCCACCTCCCAGATTCAAGCAATTCTCCTGCCTCAGCCTCCCAAGTAACTGGGACTATAGGCGCTCGCCACCATGCCTGGCTAGTTTTTTGTATTTTTATTAGAGATGGGGTTTCACCATGCTGGCTGGGATGGTCTCGAACTCCTGACCTCGTGATCCACCCGCTTCGGCCTCCCAAAGTGCTGGGATTACAGGCGTGAGCCACTGCACCAGGCCAGTCATATAGAACTTTTAACTAATATCATAACAATAAACACAAATAGAATTTCAATCAAGGAAATAAACTTTAATTTGAAATCTGGGTGCTCATTTTCTCGATAAATATTTATCACATTTTTAAAAAATGCACCTAGTTCCTCTGATGAGATAGCAAGAGGAAAAATTTGGGACCATTTCCTCAAGGAGCTTAACTTCCAATAAGACAGAACATTTTGCAAGTCATACCTGCCACTATAATAGAGATATGAAATTCTACGAGAGAGATACAGTTTAACCTTATGTGATTTTAGACACTATTTCTACCCAGGTGAGCTAGGAGTGATCCATGGAGGAGGAGACACTTAATCTGACAGTTAAATTGTACTTAGGATTTAGATATTTGAAAATGAGTCAGTTTATGTAGTATTTACCTATTAGCTAGTTATTATTACTGTTAGTTGTCTATTGCTACATAACAAATTACCTCCCAAACACAGTGGCTCAAAACAACAAACAGTTATTATTTTGCAGTTTCCATAGGGCAGGAACTTGGGAACAGCTCAGCCGGGGGTTCTGCTCAGGGTTCTCGTGAAGTTGCAGTCAAGTTCTTGGCCAGTGGTCATCTGAAGGCCTGAAGGGGGATGGAGGACCTGCTTCCAAATGGCTTGCTCTTATGGCTCCTGGCAGGAGGCCTCAATTCTTTGCTGCCTCTTGCCAAGCGGGCTCTGTGGGCAACCATGTGGGTCTCTCCATAGGCTTGCCTGAGTGTCCTCATGACTTGGCAGCTGGCTTCTCCCAGAGCCAGCTGTGAGAGAGAGAAAGAGAAAGAGAGAATGACAGCAAGCACGCAAATAATATGGAGGAGGCAGCATCTAGGTTTGAGGGCATTTTCCTCACATCTGCTTCATTCTATTCATTAGAAATGAGTCACCAAGTCCATCCCACATTCAAGAGGAGGGCAACTAGGTCCCATCTCTAAAAAAAAGAGATATCAGAGAATTCATGGATATGTTTCTAGAACCTTTGCAATGGGGATGGGGAAGACGGGGGAAGAGCATTCAACTTCGGGGAGGGGCTGGTCATGGCAAAGATTGACACTTGGAGATAAGTGCAGGATATGCTGGGTAATTCAGTTTTCAGAGCTTCAGGCTGAGATAATAGTGGAAAAGAAGACAGGAAACACAGAGAGAAGGAATTTAGACTCTATAAAGAAGGGCTGGGAACAGTGTAAGGCTTTTGAGCAGGGTGGAGGGAGGCATAGTCACAGTTATATTTTAGGGCTTAATCTAGCAGCAGGAAGAATCTAACTTTGGGAATTTGGAGAGAGCAAAAGAGGGGGCCCTTTAGGAGGCTACCATGGTCAGCAGGGAACAGAGCTGGAAAGAGATAGTTGGAGAATGTCTTCAAAACAAACACTGCTCTTCTTTCCAACTCTACGTAGTACAAATAGCTATAAAGATGAATACATTTTTATGTGTCTGACCCAACTGTTAATGGAATCTGCCTGTGTTTTAGATGCTGTGCCTTATGGAGCTCTTACTAGGCTGGTGAGCTGAGCTGTAAGCTTGATGCATGGCAGCAGTCCTTTCTGTGCTGATTGAGTGCAGTTTGTCCCTTGGATGGCAATTGCACAGAATGCCCACAGGGTACATTTCTAATTGAGTGTGTCTCTTAACTGTAGGAAAAGCCCAGTGTTATTGCTCGAATAAAACCATCCTAAATTGGAATTGTTCATAGCAAAATTGCCACCCTTTTCTTTCTTAGTTCCCAATATCTCCATTACCGAGAATGACATTATTCTTCTACAAGCACTTAAAGTGTTCATTTACTCACTGTGTATATTCATGTCTTTTCATTTGCAATGTAGAAGCTTCCTGGGCTTCATGAAGCTGTCCATTCCCATCATACTGGCAACACAGGCCACTAAAAAGCCAGGGGCATGGCCAGAGTCAGAATTCCAACACGGACCTCTTGACCTCCCCATTGTTTCTGTAGGAAATCTGATAACTCCAGGCTGTAGGATTTATTTTCTCTCTTTCTCTGAATTTATATGAATTCACAAGTCTCTAAGAGTTTAGCATGTAACCATTTTCCTAATTGTGGGTTGAGCATGGATTCATTTTCGCATCAACTTGACTGCAAGCTCACAGAATGTGTGGGCCAGTATCTTGTGCATTCTTTTAACTGCAGGTGGGGGGATGATTGTGCCCAATGCATTAAGGGAACGTACTGCATTCCCAGGTGAAGAGCACCATTTAGATGAGACTGGTCCCCTTTATTATATTATCCCATCCTCCACACAAGTGTTTTATTCTTTCTCTTCGTACTTCTAAATCCCACCTGTGGTTGAAAGCCAGGATGATGATGTATAGCACTTGCCCACTCCCCTCTTTATGTGGGCTGCCTTTTTGACCCTATGTAAGGGCTAGATGAAAACTTTAAGTGACCTTTAATTTCCTCAATGTTCATTTGCATCCAATTAATCCAATTTACCTGTGGATAAATTTAAGTCATAATGACGTGATGTTTTGTGAATATTTATGATCCTGAATGTATTAGGTTGTTTCTCTACATTGTTAATATTGCCCAGGGCTTAATGCAGTGTGATTCATTGCCCATTTAATAGTGCCTCCAGTAACATCTGAGATGGTTCTTAGGGTGTGCACCAAGGTTTAGTAATGGAGGGATACCTTTTTTTTAATATTACTTTTTTGTTGCTGCTTACTATCAGTGAAACATCCTGACGCCCTTGGAATATCTTCCAACTCCTGGAATATCAGTAAATACAAATTGGAGGTGAGGGGATTATGATCTAGGCATACCTTTCTGCCTAGGTAATTTTACAGGTAATTTGTACAGTTTTTGGAAAACCGTGAATAACAGTTGTACTCTGAGGGGATCAAAGAACCTTCTAGCTAACTCTTTCATTTTTCCTCTGAGAAGAATTGTCTTGCAGAGATGTGGAGTGGTTTCTCAAGGGTGCAGGGCCAATTCCTAGGAGAACATCCATGACTTATATACTAAGTTTTCTGGATGCAGTGCTCTGTCCAATAAAAACACACAGAAGAACCCATTGCTTCTCAAAAAAATCCCTCCAGCCCTCCTCTCCCTAAGTCTAAAAATCTAATACCAAATGAAACCAAGATAAGAAATCTGTACTTGCTAATTTCTTTTTCTTTTATCTTCCAAGTCATCAGCTTCCGTAGAAGTGGTGGAACAGTATTATCTTACTGTAATTCAAATAGCAAATATCGATGACTATTTGCTAAGTAATCTTATGCAAAATAAATTATCAGATGGACACAGTGACTCACGCCTGTAATCCCAGCACCTTGGGAGGCTGAGGCAGGTGGATCACTTGAGGTCAGGAGTTTGAGACCAGCTTGGCCAACATGGTGAAACCCCATCTCTACTAAAAATACAAAATTAGCCAGGCTTGGTAGAGAGCACCTGTAATCCCAGCTACTCAGGAGGCTGAGGCACGAGAATCACTTGAGCCCAGGAAGCGGATGTTGCTGCAGTGAGCCGAGATTCCACCAAAACTGCACTCCAGCCTGGGACCCCGTTTCAAAAAAAAAGAGAAGAGATTACCTAGATTACCTACACTAATATAGAGGGGAGTAATAAACACAAGCACTTCAATTATCAGAAACATGGGAATATCTTTCAGGTATAAATGCACACAATTGGTTTTCAAAAGGTGAGTATTATATTTTGGAGTATGTTGATATAACAACATTGTTTTTTAAAAAGTTAATTCTAGAGGTAGTAGAAAAAATCTTTATAGGGAATTTGGGCTTTGAGAACATTTTGGAAGGAGGAGAAAAAGGAGGAGGAGCGGGGGGAGAAGAAGAAAAAGGAGGATGAATATATGGAGGGTATTTGAATGAGACAAAGGTGTAAGACAAGTATTTCTCGATGTTGAGAGTCACAAGTGGACAAGCATGTAGTGTTATTTGGGTTATTTATAAATGATAATATAACAATATATACTATTTTATAATGCTTTAATAGAGACCATGGTGATGTAAGATTGGAATGGTTTATCCGAGAAGGTGGGCAGTAAGTTGAATGTGGTACACGGAGGATTGAAGATGGCTATACTGGCTGATAGTTGAGATGGAAATTTCTGAAATAGAAACTAGTAAGATTGACCATTCTTGTTTAATAAGGGGCAATCAGACGCTCTAGGAGTGGAAATTCTTGCAGGCTAGAGGGATATGAGTTACGCAGTACCAGTGGCAGGCAAAAAAGACTATCCCAGTATTGTGAAGAGATACCATGGACTTCAAAGTCAGCAAAGTCGAATATTGCTGAAATCAGGGTTTCAGTTGTGTCAGGGCCTGCTAGTGACTGCATTTACCTCTCTAGTCCCCAAAAGAGTGCTGGCACATAGTATGTCCTGAACAAATACTTGTAGAATACATAGACTAGGCATTTGTGGCTGCATCAGGAAGAATCAGAGAAATCTGATACTATTATGGAGGAGGAAGAGTAAAATTTTCCAATAAGAACAAATACAAAGTCAAAGGAGAGTCTTCATTTGAAGGTTGTCAAGATGACAGATTTAACTGTATTTCCCCAGGAGCTGATGGTGTTGGAGGGCAATGGGATTGGAGCCTGAATAGAAAACATCTGGGGATGTGAGGCGTGCCCTCAAGCAGTCATGTTTCCTTTTAGTGTTGGTTCTGGAACTCATTTAGATACTTTGACATTTTTGTGCTTCCGTAGTGTTAGAGTCAAAGACCTTGAGGTTCTCTGAAGATTCATTTCCTATGATGCGGCAATCTCTAGCACAGTGTTCACATTCCAAGAAGTGCTTAATATTTAACATGCTCTGACTTCCTTAATCACCTTTCAATATCAGAATCCTGTGCTTTATCAGATAAGCCTTTTTAGCCTATGGCAGGTGATATTGTTTCATCCAATCACAAGGCGTTCAACTCGGATGATGTTGTCTTCAGTGCTGAATCAGGATCTTTCACCAAATTCACATGTCCTGTCCCTTGCCCACTAAGGAAGTTACAGAAAAGTTGCAAGGTGAATATTGATTTACTATCTCATCCTGAAATTCTGAGATTCAGTCTCTGATAGAGTGGAAGTGGGTCATGTTCTATGGCTAGCTATATAACATCAGAATGTGGCTTTTTGGAGATATTTTTAGCTTCCTTAAAAAAACCTCATGAAATACTCTGCTTTAAAAAATGTTCTAAGTAATGTGAAAAACAGATATTACCACTCTATCCTTGATTCTTAGCCTATTACTGGATATGTCCCCTGGGGTGGGGTAGAGGAGGGGGTCAGGAATGGAGTAGAGCTCGATTTCTGTTATTCACGTTATTGAGTAAAAAAATTGTGCTTTTAACATTTTGTCATGTTCATTTTTATGCAACTGCATTAATACAGAAGCATTAAAATGCTTTTGTCAAATTGTCTATGTCAGCGTGTTCTGCTTCATCTCTGGAAAAAGAGACTTTGAAAAAGAGCTTCTTAGAGAAGAAGCTTAGGATATGAAAGGTTCTGGGACAAGTCTGTAATTTTGGCTATATTTTATGGAGATACTATGGATTTCTTTGATCCAGGAACTCATATTCTTACTACAGCTCATTTGATCACTAGGATGGTCATGTGCTATTTATTCAGTCTTGAGCTAGATTGGTTTCCCTGTCATAAGCAGTTTAGAATACCCACAGGTATCACTTCCTCTATTGCAGAAAGTTTTGAACTGATCGATGACCTAGCTACATAAAGGCAACGATGCTGCATTAGCAACAAACCATGCCCTCCAGTGTCTTACTGGGATTGGTCTATCAGGTGAGTATGGTTAACAGCACAGTATGACATATTTATATGATCATAGTGCTCTTAAAAATACTATCTAATTTAATGTTGGTGGAGCTACTGTAGTGAGCAGTGAGATCTCTCCACTCAAAACATCTATGCTTGTTAAATTTCACTAATGAAGAATTTCAGATCACTGATCAGTTTTCATTTGTAAATAAAACCTGAACTATATCTGATGAATACAAAATGATAATCATCATAATTAGTGTGTTTTATTGCCATTATACATATATAGGAAAGTTGGCAGTGCTTTAATATATCTTATATCTATGCCATCACTTAAGTTTTTTTTTTTTTTGAGACAGAGCCTTGCTCTGTCTCCAGGCTGGAGTGCAGGGGTGCGATCTCGGCTCACTCTGCCTCCCAGGTTCAAGCGATTCTCCTGCCTCAGTCTCCCAAGTAGCAGGGACTACAGGCACACACCACCACACCTGGCGAATTTTTGTATTGTTAGTAGAGATGGGGTTTCACCATGTTGGCCAGGATCGTCTCAATTCTTGACCTCACCATCACTTCAAGTCTTTAAAGGCCAGGCTTGCACCAAGGTAGGTTACTCTGACTCTCGTTCTACCAACAGACAGTTATCTGGTGAAGTCCCCAAGTGGAGGCTTTGCTGAATCAGAGCCCTGGTTCATTGTTTAGGCTTAGCCCAACAGAGACAATCATAGTTTACATTCTAAACTGGAACTTTGGCTTGCCTCCCTTAAGGAGAAATAGCCTCTGATTTTCTAAAGCAGATGTTCACTTTAATCTAGGGGCAAATGCTGGATTAGGGAAGGTCAGGCAGTTTAGTCTTTCTGTGCTGAAAGACTGGACCTTCCCGAGTCCAGTCTGAAATTCTTCATTAGTGAAATTTAACAAGCATAGATGTTGTGAGTGGAGAGGTCTCACTGCTCAATACAGTGACTCCATCAGCATTAAATTAGATAGTATTTGTAAGAGCGCTATGATTATGTGCATCTATCACTGCGGATGATGACTCAGTATGATGTTGATGGGATCCTGTGGCAGCTTCCCTGGCACAGAGAAGCCCTGCATTCGATTTCTGGTATTGTAAGTTACAACACAGAGGAGTACTTTTCAGGAAACCATATTGTCAAGCCCTATTCTCAGCTAGATTTGTGTTTCTGGGGCAAGGTTAGAACTGAATCAACTTCCAGAGATTGGAAGAATACTTTTAAAAAAAAAAATTTTATTTTAGATTTAGGGGTACGTGTGTAAGTTTGTTGTATAGGTAAACTCATGTCATGAGGGTTTGTTATGCAGATTATTTCATTACCCAGGTACTAAGCCTAGTACCCAACAGTTATATTTCCTGACCCTTTCCCTCCTCCCATCTTCCATCCTCTACCCTCCAATAGGCCTCAGTGTGTATTGTTCCCCTGTATACATCCATGTGTTCTCATCATATAGCTCCCACTTTTAAGTGAGAACGTTTGGTATTTGATTTTATGTTCTTGTGTTAGGTTGCTAAGATTAATGGCCTCCAGCTCCATCTGTGTTCCTGCAAAGAACATGATCTCATTCTTTTTTATGGCTGCATAGTATTCCATGGTGTATATGTACCACATTTTCTTTATCCAACCTGCCACAATGGGCATTTTTTAATGTTGAGAAAACTTTGGGAAAATGTTCAACAACAAGTAAATTTCCTTTGGACATATTCAATATTTAAGTACTATTTTTGCCATAAGAGTCTCATAAAGTTGTATAAAAGATTGTAAGAGACTTTGAAATTTAGCGGGTGTCTTGATCTACCCTCCATCTGAGTTTCTCTGCTTGTATTTGCCTTTGACTAAGTGTATTAGTCTGTTCTCACACTGCTGTAAAGAACTGCCTGAGACTGGGTAATTTATAAAGGAAAGAGGTTTAATTGACTGACAGTTGTGGAGGGCTGGGGAGGTCTCAGGAAACTTACAATCATGGCAGAAGGAGAAGCAAACACATCCTTTTGGGTGGGGACACAGCCAAACCATATCACTAAGATTCTTTACAAACTTTTGGAGATGAAAGTAAACCTATAGAAAACTGATAAAGATGCAGATAAAAATTCCTTTCAAGAGAAATACAAACTATGTTCAGTGTAATTCATTCATTCATTCATTATTGTCCCTGTGAATATTGGCAGTTCTGCAATTTTTTTTTCTTTTTTTTCAGACAGAGACATATGGTCTCTGTCACCTAGGATGGGACACAGTGGTGATAGTAGCTCACTGTAGCCTCAAACTCTTGGGCTCAAGTGATCCTCCTGTTTTAGCCTCTTGAGTAGCTGGGACTACAGACACCTAATGACAGGCCTGGCTAATTTTATTTTCATTTTTATTGTAGAGATTGGGTCTTGTGATGTTTCCCAGGCTGGTCTTGAACTCCTGGCCTCAAGCAATACCCCCACCTTGGTCTCTCAAAGCACTGGGATTACAGGTATGAGAGTCACTCAAACCCAGCTAAGTCTTACACTTTTTATAAATTCATTTCAGCATTACTTTTTTGACTAAATATATATCTGGTTTCTAATATTTCAGTGACATGAGTTCTTTATATATTCTGGATAAAAGTTCTTTGCCATATATATGATTTTCAGGATATCCTAGTCTGTGGCTTGTCATTTCACTTCCTTAATGACATCATTTTAAGTGCAAATAATTTTAATTTTGATGAAGTCTATTTTACTATTTTTGGGCATCACATCTAAGAACTCTTTGTCTAACTGAAAGTCATAAAGACTTTATTCTATTATTTAAAAGTTTTCTAATTTTAGCCTTTATATGTAGGTCTATGATCCATTTATAGTAAATTATTATGTATGGTGTGAGGTAGTGATCTAAATTTAAATCCATGTTGCATATGGATATCTAATTGTCCCAGAACTATTTGTTGAAAAGACTATCCATTTCCCACTGAATTGGCTTGACACCTTTGTCAAAAATCAATTGGCCATAAATATAAGGATCTATTTCTGGACTCTCACTTCTGTTCCACTGATCCATTAGTATATACTGATAGGCTAATATCAGATAACTTTAGATATATTGGTATGTTAGTCTTTAGCCAAGAGAGGCATTACCAATTAGTAACTGATTCTAAGATTTGTGACACTGTCCATCTGGAATATGCACTGAAGAGTTTTTGTATTTTTGTTTTTCTTTTTAACAGCAAAAAGAAATCTCTGTAAGCTTTCCTTCCTCATATCTTCACTCTCTCTGACATTTTCTTAATTTCACATTCAATATATGTATACATACATTTTAAAAGAAAAGAGATATAGACATTTACCATTGGAAAACATTTTGATTCGGGTTCTGTAAAATGACAAAGGATTGATTCAGCAGTTAAGGGTGCCCTAACCAGTTTAAACATCTGATATTCTGGGAGGTCTTAGGTGATTGAAGATTGAGATTAAAATCTCTGGTTTAGTTAGGTTTTCTTTTTAAATTGTTCATACTTTTTTTCATTGTACTTATATTTTCCCTCAAGTTTTCCCTCAAGTTTTGAATGCTTGCCTTCCCTTCTCTTAAGGCAAATTCCTGGAATTTGAAATGCTGAATTCAAGAAGGATAAACATTTCATTATGTCAAAGTGATAAAAATAAGCATTTATTTTTCTAACTCAAGTGAGCCAGTATTACAAAAAGTAAAGGAATAGCTATGGGATATTGAAGAGTGTAATGCAACTGATGTTGTACATATTAATTGCATTATATACAAAATCTAGTATATGATCATAATGTAATGAAATTGATGTAATATACATTTTAGTGTCTTAATGTTTATGTTTACATTGCTTTCTAAACCAAAGCACATTCTTTTAAGTGGAATGGGTTTTAGTTGATAAAATCCAGTAAGACTTGAAGTTATTTCATCAACTTTTTGTAACTATCTTTCTCATTAATTCATTCAACTACATTTCATTAGGTAGAGACTGTGTTTTGTGTACATTCCAAGAGGCTGGGCTACAGCTATGAATACAGCCAAGACTCTGCACTCATGGAACTAACGTCCTAGCAGGGAAGACAGACAACAGTAACAATTATATGTAAAATAGTGATAATGGCTATGAGAATATCCAAAGCAAGGTAAGTGAGAGAGTGTGATGAAATAGTGGTTGTAGGTGGATACAACCTTCTTAAGGAGGTGTATCCTTAAGCAGTGTAAGTCCTTCTTAAGGAGGATTTGAGAGGAGACTTAGATGAATTGAGGGTGAGCTGGGTGAATATCTTGGAGAAGAATATTGCAGTTAACGTAAGCAAGTAGTTGGATATGAGGTACAGAGATTTCTAGGCAGCTATGTATCATGTATGTCTTTGTAGTAGGTCATGGTCAAAAATGTGAATTTTATTCTGAGAGGATAGAAAGCCACAGAGGATTTGGTGGGCTAAAGAGTGACACAATCTTATTTGTGCTTTTAAAAGTTTCTCTGGGGCTGGGCGCAGTAGCTCATGCCTGTAATCCCAGCACTTTGGGAGGTAAAGGCAGGTGGATCACTTGAGGACAAGAGTTCAAGACCAGCCTGGCCCAAATGACAAAACCCTGTCTCTACTAAAAATTAAAAAATTAGCCGGACTTGGTGGTGCGCACCTGTAATTCCAGTTACTTGGGAAGCTGATGCAGGAGAATCACCTGAACCCAGCAGGTGGCGGTTGCAGTGATCCAAGATCATGCCACTGCACTCCAGCCTGGGCAACAGAGTGAGACTATGTCTCAAAAAAAAAAAAAAGGTTTTTCTGGGAACTATGTATCGTTTTATCTGAAGGTAGACAAGAATGGAGCAAGAAGTGTAGTTAGGAGGCTACTTATTAATATTTCACAGTCTGGGTGAGAATAGTTGGTATCTTGGACTAGGATGGTGGGGCAGAAGTGATAACAAAAGGTTGGAGTTTGGTTAGGTATTGTCTTTGTCTTCTCAGGCTGCTATAACAAAAATATTGTAAACTTAGTGGCTTATAAACAACAGAAATTTATTTCTTACAGTTCTGGAGGCTGGGGAGTCTAACATCAAGACACCAGCAGATTCTATATCTGGTGAGGGACCACTTTCTTACAGGCAGCTGTCTTCTTACTCTAGCCTCACATAGCAGAGGGAATCAGGAGTCCCTCTCTAGCTTCTTTTATAAGGCACTGATCCCACTCATGAGGGTACCTCTCCAATAACCTAATCACCTTCCAAAGCCCCCACCTTCTAGTTTCACCATCTTGGAGGTTAGGATTTCAACATATGAATTTTGTGGAGAACAAACATTCAGACCATAGGAGATTTTTAAGGCAGAGCCAACAGGATTTGCTAGAGTATTGAATATAGAGTGTGAGCATAGGATAGTAGACTTTTGGCCTAAACAACTATGGGCATGTTGACACAGTGTCCTGAGATGTGAAAGATGGAGGAGGATATTTGGAGGCAAAGGTGAAGAGGTAAGGAGCTTTGTTGTGAATATGCACAGTTGGAGATCATTTTCTCATCCTGCTGAAGAGAAAATCCAGTATAATAATGTTCTCAGGAGAAGCCAATGTTTTGTCTCTAGAGCTTTTTATTTATTTATTTATTTATTTTTTATTGTTATACTTTCTAGGGTACATGTGTACAACATGCAGGTTTGTTACATATGTATACATGTGCCATATTGGTGTGCTGCACCCATCAACTCGTCAGCACCCATCAACTCATCATTTACATCAGTTATAACTCCCAATGCCATCCCTCCCCCCTCCCCCTTCCCCATAATAGGCCCTGTTGTGTGATGTTGCCCTTCCAGAGTCCAAGTGATCTCATTGTTCAATTCCCACCTATGAGTGAGAACATGCGGTGTTTGGTTTTCTGTTTTTGCGATAGTTTGCTGAGAATGATGGTTTGCAGCTGCACCCATGTTCCTACAAAGGACATGAACTCATCCTTTTTTATGGCTGCATAGTATTCTATGGTGTATATGTGCCACATTTTCTTAATCCAGTCTGTCACTGATGGACATTTGGGTTGATTCCAAGTCTTTGCTATTGTGAATAGTGCCGCAATAAACATACATGTACATGTGTCTTTATAGCAGCATGATTTACAATCCTTTGGGTATATACCTGGTAATGTGATGGCTGGGTCATATGGTATTTCTAGTTCTAGATCCTTGAGAAATCACCATACTGTTTTCCACAATAGTTGAACTAGTTTACAATCCCACCAATAGTGTAAAAGTGTTCCTATTTCTCCATATCCTCTGCAGCACCTGTTGTTTTCTGACTTTTTAATGATTGCCATTCTGACTGGTGTAAGATGGTATCTCATTGTGGTTTTGATTTGCATTTCTCTGATGGCAAGCATTTTTTCATGTGTCTGTTGGCTGTATGAATGTCTTATTTTGAGCCCTTCATGCTAAAAACTCTCAATAAATTCGGTATTGATGGAACACATCTCAAAATAATAAGAGCTATTTATGACAAACCCATAGCCAATATCATACTGAATAGGCAAAAACTGGAAGCATTCCCTTTGAAAACTGGCACAAGACAGGGATGCCCTCTCTCACCACTCCTATTCAATATAGTGTTGGAAATTCTGGCTAGGGCAATCAGGCAAGAGAAAGAAATAAAGGGTATTCAGTTAGGAAAAGAAGAAGTCAAATTGTCCCTGTTTGCAGATGACATAATTGTATATTTAGAAAACCCCATCATTTCAGCTCAAAATCTCCTTAAGCTGATAAGCAACTTCAGCAAAGTCTCAGGATACAAAATTAATGTGCAAAAATCACAAGCATTTTTATACACCAGTAACAGACAGAGAGCCAAATCATGAATGAACTTCCATTCACAATTGCTTCAAAGAGAATAAAATACCTAGGAATCCAACTTACAAGGGATGTAAAAGACCTCTTCAAGGAGAACTAAAAACCGCTGCTCAGTGAAATAAAAGAGGATACAAATAAATGGAAGAACATACCATGCTCATGGATAGGAAGAATCAATACCGTGAAAATGGCCATACTGCCCAAGGTTATTTATAGATTCAATGCCATCCCCATTAAGCTACCAATGACTTTCTTCACAGAATTGGAAAAAACTGCTTTAAAGTTCACATGGAACCAAAAAAGACCCTGCATTGCCAAGACAATCCTAAGTCAAAAGAACAAAACTAGAAGCATCACGCTACCTGACTTCAAACTATACTACAAGGCTACAGTAACCAAAACAGCATGGTACTGGTACCAAAACAGAGATGTAGACCAATGGAATAGAACAGAGTGCTCAGAAATAATACCACACATCTACAGCCATCTGATCTTTGACAAACTTGAGAGAAACAAGAAATGGGGGAAGGATTCCCTATTGAATAAATGGTGCTGGGAAAATTGGCTAGCCATAAGTAGAAAGCTGAAACTGGATCTTTTCTTTACTCCTTATACGAAAATTAATTCAAGATGGATTAGAGACTTAAATGTTAGACCTAATACCATAAAAACCCTAGAGAAAAACCTAGGTAATACCATTCAGGACATAGGCATGAGTAAGGACTTCATGTCTAAAACACCAAAAGCAACGGCAACAAAAGCCAAAATTGACAAATGGGATCTAATTAAACTAAAGAACTTCTGCACAGCAAAAGAAACTACCATCAAAGTGAACAGGCAGCCTACAGAATGGGAGAAAATTTTTGCAATCTACTCATCTGACAAAGGGCTAATATCCAGAACCTACAAAGAACTCAAACATATTTACAAGAAAAAAACAAGCAACCCCATCAAAAAGTGGGCAAAGGATATGAACAGACAAATCTCTAGAGCTTTTGTAGAATTACTCAATGGCATAATTCTATTCTCAACAAATTGTTTTTCCTTGATAAATCCAAAATGTAGTTTATCCTATTTTAAAAATTAGTACACATTTTATCCTCTAAAATTACAGGCTCATTTGTTTATTGGACAGGGCTTTTATTGACTTTTCCTCAGGGTTTGATTTTGTAGGTTTTGGTCTAAACTGCATGAACTGCATAAATATAAACCCATAGTCATATTCAAACAGACTAAGGAATCCTGTCTGATAGAAATGCAATTTTATTTTTGTGTTAAAAAAATACTTTCTGGTGCCTTTTAAATTAGCTTCTTAAAGAGCATATACTACTTTTCCTTCCAGATTTAAAAAATTATAGTAAGATATACATGATGTAATATTTATCATTTTAATCACTCATAATTTTACAATTCAGTGTCATTAAATACATTCATAGTGTTGCCTAAGCAACAGAACCGTCTATATCCAAGAGTTTTTCATCATTCCCATTCAAAACTCTACACATTAAATAACACTTCTCCTTTTCCCCATCCCCTGGCCCCTGGTAACCTTTATTCTACTTTCTGTTTATTTTATTATTTTTTATTAACAAAATTTCATTTATAATAATAATTACATATGTTTATGGGGTAGAGTGTGAGGTTTTAATATATGCACACATTGTATAATAAGCAAATCAGGGTAGGTAGTATGTCAGTCATCTCAAACCTTTGTCATTTCTTTGTGGTAGTAACTTTTGAGATCCTCTTTCCTAGCTGTCTTGAAATACACAACACATTGTTGTTAGCTATAGTTATCCCTCTATGTAATAGAACACTAGAACTTATTCTTTCTTATTTTTAAC